ACATTTTGAGGCAAAAGTCTCCAGGCAAGAGCAGGGAACGTTCTTACTGCTACAGTGCCACCTACCGGTAGGCCCTTTACAACCTGGCCAGCTGCAGCTCGACTTTGACCCGGAGAGTTTTTGAAGGCTCCTTCTGAGATCCAGGGAGCTCGAGATTTACCTAGTGGGTCAAGAGTTGCAATCCACCAGCAGAGTGGGACTGGGACTTCACGCCTGTGGGAGAAAGGTGGGCAGTCTCCTTCGGCGTGATTCAAAGCCTCTGAAAACCTGCTGGAGGATCAGCTACAAACCGGTCAGACTTGATGGTATATGACAACGTAACATGTGAACTTCGGTTTTATTACCAACTTTATTGATATTTCCATCAATTTCCTTGAGAGCTATGAAGGCTCTTGCTGTAGCGTGAAGCCAGCAAGTGATAAATAAAATATATGCTCTTATTCTTACTGTTATCTTAAATCAGCCCTGACTTCACTGACTTGGATTTTCTCTGTCCTATAACTGCAGCAAGGGCTCCAGGTTGTGTGGGCAAGGGTTTGGATCTAGGGAAAATAACTTGGGGAGCTCCCAAAGATCCTGAGGAATGGAAAAACAACCCCACTTAACCCTCTATTTAATCTTGGCCAAAAGGAGAAGAGGTCAATCCTAAAGCTAGTCTAAAGAAGCTCCTTGCCACGCTCACGTTCCTGCCAAAGACCAGATCCACGCTTCCTATCAGGGAATGAGTCAGGGAGCTACTCACATCCTCACTCCTCCAGGGCTGGGGAGGAGTAAAGGGCACAGGGATTCCATCAGGACAAGCAGCTAGACAGCTTTTCTTTTCAATCAGTTCGACTCCAGATCCTTCCAGGAGTTCCAACAAACACAGACTGCATAGTGAGAAGGACAAGAGTGTACTAGTGGAAGATGGGTTATTCCATTGAGGGCTGCCGGGCAAACGATTTCATGATAATGCTAATGGGATTTCTATGTTATTGAGTTTAAGCTCCACTGGATTTACTTTAAGAAACCTTAGTGGTGCAGTAGATTTAAGTACTGAACTGCTAATTGAAAGGCTAGTGATTCAAACATACTCGGTTCATGGAAGACAGAAGAGCCAGCGAGCTTCGGCAAAGCCTGGGAATCCTGCCGGGGTGATCCTGCCATGCCTTTGAGGGTTGCCAGGAGTCAAAGTCAACTCAATGGCAGTGGGTTTCTAGGGGAATTTACTTTATACTCACTTATCTGAGAAACAAAGGGGTGGGAGGGCAGAGTCATACTGCTGTGTGCACTCCACACAAAGTGCCCCAGTGCTGAAGTACATTGGCTCCAGGGTCTGGAACAACATGCATTTGAGAATGGCACTGATTTTTATTTCTTATAAATGAAATTCATTATTAAATTTCCAGAAGGGTAAGGTTTTTCCCAGCAACTACATACCAACAAGATGAAAAAGAGGATGGAGCGGGAGGGAAGAAGGCTGGCTTCTAGGAAAGTTGAAAGACTAGCTCTTAACCCCTGGGCAGAGGCTAAGGGGAACCAGCTGTGGCTTCAGACCCTTGAAATAAGGGCGGTCTACTGTCCTGGAGAAGGTGAAACCAGTTCGCTTGTTTGAGGCTCGGTCTTGCATACTGTGGCCACGCCGTGTGGAGGGACCAGTCCTGGGCGAAGGCCACTGTGCTTGGAAGGGTGGAGTGTCAGTGCAGGAGACGAAGACCCCGAATGAGAAGGAATGGCATAGTGACTGTGGCAATGGGGTCAGGTGGGTCAGAGACAGTGAGGGTGGCTCAGAACGGGGCAGCGTTCAGAGCCACTGGTCACCGGGTCGCCGTTATGGGACATGGTCGACTCAACAGCATGGAACAACAACAAACATAATCAAATACGCACGAGAGAAGTGGCAGCGATTCAATCCGTTGATCCCTCTTCATCACCAGCACTTCAAAACTCAAGAGCAGCACTGCGATGGTAAAGAGGGAAAGCTGAGTCAACAAGCTCTGACTTAGCAAATTACCAAGTTTGCTGAGGCAACGTCCTCCCTCTCAGAGCAAACTGAAGACCGGACAGCCGAGGAAAAGCAACATTCACGCAGCAGCCTGGACACGACACCAGGAACTGCCACGTTCGCTCTTCTCATGTTTACAATAAAACGGATGTCACTAGTTGGCCACCAGCGAGATGGGCCCCACGGTGTTTCAGCAATTCCATGGGCTAAACCAGGCCCTATCTTACTCAGACTACAGAAAGAACCAGTGCGCACAGCTCGAAGGGCCCGCTGGCCAGACTCTGAATGGTTAAGGGAATAGGGAACAGACATGTGTTGTATTCGTGGCCTCATTAATGCCATGTTTAGCTAACTGAATTAACTGGGTCAGATGGGCAAAATACCTTTCAAAGCCATTTAGAGATTTCTGCCTAAGCACAAGTGCCCAAACCCCAGGGATACAGGGAACTCTTTTGACTTATTCTCGGGGCTCTTCCTTCTCGAGTGTTTAAAGTGAAATGTTGCTACTTGCAAGTGAACAGTCTCCAAACACTCCAGAGTCATTAGAATGACGCCTTTAACTCTACTTGGAAAACAGAAAGACACACAATGTGTAGTTGAAACAGTGGCGTGCCGTATAAATTACTGTAAGGGAGTTAGTTACTAAGCAATCCTGACGGCACTGTAGGTTAAGCGCTGGACTGCCGGATAAAAGGTTGGTGGTCTGAACTCACTAGCCACTCACAGGAGAAAGGGGAAAGCAACGTGCTTCTGTGAAGACTGGAAAGTCCATGGGGTGGTTCTACTGTGTCCAGAGGGCTGCTAGGAGATGGAACTGATGAGACTGCGGTGAAAATAGCTTGGGAGCCATTCGTTACTATTGTTTGCAACTATGAACTCTGACCTTTCCTATCCTAGGCTCATCAAGTTTTCTTTAACTATAGATCAGTAACATCAACAAAATCACAGAGTGGAAACAAGTTCAGAGGAATTGAGAGGCCCCGTGACTATGATGTTAGGAGTAGTGATTACGTACTTCCTAAACCAGATGAGAAGAATGATTTCCCTGTGAGGTGGGAAAATGCAGGTGTTAGAAGTCAGGAAGGAGGAGCAGGTAAAATTGCTTCTTGCTCTGCTTTTATGCTGATATCAAATTCAGAAGCCTGACGCGTCACCAACAGCTGGTTGATACTCATTCAGGGTCAAGGTGCTGCCATGTTCCCTCAAATGTCTAACTTCCTCAGCCAGAGTGGATGCGGAGAGTTCAGTTCAATCTTTATCCCAGGAATTAAGACAAGCAAATGAACTAGGCAGGATCTGTGGAACCTCCCAGGCTCTGAAGTCTTCTGCAGCTGAAACAATGCAAAGAACTAAAGGGGCTGTAACAGCTATGACTCACCGAAATCTGTGCAACCAGCCTATGAGTCTCTTCCCCACTTCCAGTCCCTAACAGTTCCAGGTTGAAATAAATACCATATTCTAGGAAATCTTTTTCTTTTTAGGGGAAGGCATCTATGAAATATTTTTTGAATTCACATTCTCATTTAAAGGGAGGCTTCTAAAACTACCTAAACTAGGTATAGTTACAGAGCTCTTCCTAGGTATTTCCTTTTTTAACTCTTGTTATAACAAGCCTCTAAGTAATTATCTTTATGAGACAGTCAAAGTAACTGGGCTCTTATCATCACTGTGCTAGTATTATGTCGCATCCCCCAGCCCACCTTAACACTCCTCAATGGCTTCTTAACACTCTCAGGGTAAAGTTCCAGTTCCCCACACAGCTCATGAGCTGGGGCTACCTCTATAGCCTTTCCTCTGTCTCTCCCTGCTTTTGCCCTGGGCCTGCTGGCCTCTGCATCCATCATTCCAAGGCTCTTCTGGGAACGTCTTCCACCTGAGATGTGCCTGGGCTCCAATACTGCCCCCCAGACATGTTTCATAATCTGCCTGTGCCTTTATTTCTTTATCCAAAAAATGAAGAAGATATTTCCTGGACTGTCCGTTTTGTGACAAATGAGCTATAACATGTAAAGTGCTCTGTGCTGTGGACTGTGCTTGACACACACAAATACTCTGGTGCTGTGTGTCGCTAGTCTACATGCCCCTGTGGATGCTATCATAGCAACTCCTGTGAAAGAGAAGAAGAAACCCCCAGAGGGTTTCCAGGCTGTGAGCTTTATAGAAATAGTGTTAGGGCTTTCTCCTGTGGAGCCCCTGCGTGGGTTTGAACCATTTACCTTCTTGTTAGTAGCTGAGCTTAACTGCTGATCTACCATCATGATGCTCCTAGCACTTACCTGGCATTTACCTCTCCTTCAGCCTCTTTGTTCTTGACTTCTCTTATCTCTTGACTCTGTAAGTTCTCTGTACTGTTTGCCCTGCAAGTAATCCAGTGCCCAGGATGCTCCTTTCTCCTTTCTTGAGCAGGAGCTCAGGCATAAACATAACTGAAATGGACTTAGTATGACTGATCATTGATTAATATGTAGCTCATAAATTATTACTTCTAGTAAGCCATCCCTGAAAATTAAGTAAGTGATGTGAGAGGTGCTTTCCCCCCTCTGGCTACCTGGAATGAACCATGACATCAGCACAAAAGGGCTTACGCCAGTGACTCAAGCTCACACTCTGTGTCCAGGATCACTTCGCACAAGCCCCTCAACCTCCTATGCTTCAGTCTTCTCATCTGACGAACAGAAAGATCTACCTCAAAGGGCCACAGGGTGTATTAAGTGAGAAACACTACATGTGGAAGTAATACATAAACAGTGCGACATCAGTCAAATGAAGGGTAATTTTATTAAATGACGCAAATCTGGTAGCATTCTATTAGATTAGGAAATTTCATCTCAAATTAGTTTCAGAAAATGAGTCTATCCTAATCTGCCAATATAATTTTACAGAAGAAAGGAAGGAAAAAAATGCCCAGTTGCTAATATTTCAAAGTGTGGAGATTTTGCTCTTTGAACCGGAGCTGTCTTCTGAGGCAGAAGAGAGAATGTGTCAGCTCAGGCCCAGTGTCCTCTCCGCGGTCCGACTAACCTGTGGAGCTGGTGATGGGCACAAAGGCTGCCAAGTTAAGGCTGCTCTGGAGTCCATTCAGCTGCCCTTCTGCGGAGGAGCCTCTAAAACAAAAAGGAATGTGGTTAGGGCTGCAGATGGCAAGGTCAAGTTCATGCCCTCCAAGGACTTCACACTGTATCTTTGGTCTTCTCTCATGTGGCTCATTCCCTTGCTTCAAGAGTAAATAAATGTTACCTTACGAGAGAGGACTTTTTTTAGACCAATGTTATTGTGAAGTATTTCATGTTTTTGTTGTACATTTCGCTTCATGAAAGCCTGGCCTTTGATCACTGCACTGTCCACAGGAGCGAGAACTGTGCCTGGCATATGACAGACTATATAAATGCTTGCTGAATAAATCAAGTTCCTACTATTGACCTCAAAAGTGTATTTACTTTTTTTTTTTATTTAAAAACATTTAAGGCTCACGTACAGCAGTGATTCTCAGTGAGGGAGAGAGGAACGATGAATCAGTCTGGTGCAACTGTGGGTTATGACTTAATAGACAGAGACCAGGGATGGGTTAAACAACCTTTTATAATATGCAGGTCAGCCCCAACAGAAAATATTGATGCATTAAAAAAATGTCAGTGGTTCAAAATCGAGACCCACTACTGGAGGGGGATCACCTACAACGCCGACACTGACAGGAGTCAGGACATGTGTTTTTGATTCTTGGACCGGAGGTTCCTCAGACCAGCCTGATGCCTTAACAAACCATGTCAGGGTCCTTGTCACAGGTTCTTAGAACACTAATTCTCTTTCATGACACTTGCCAGAATTATAATTATTAAATTGTGTTAACTGGCTGCTTAATATCCATCACTCTTGATATGGAAGCTCCATGAAGACGGATTATGATCAGTTTTATTCACAGTTTCATCTCTAGTTCCTAACACTGCATTTTGTGCACATCAAGTACTTACTAAATATTTTAAAAATAATAGGACTTGTTATTCTCCCTAAGTTGTTACTAGTTGACACGGAGTCAGGATCTGACTCCACGGTAACTCTATACACGATGGGATGAAGTGCAGTCTGGCTCTGCGAGAGCCCCATGATTGGTTGCAGAAGGAACCAGAGTGGTCCACAGGGTTTTCAATGGCTGGTTTTTAGAAGGTCACCAGACCTTTCTTTCTTTTGTTTTTTTTTTTTTAATTAATTTTAATGAAAGTTTACAGAGACTTAGGGTTTCCAGTCATTCATAGTTACACTTTTCTCCCTGCCCATCCCCTTTACCCTAATTCACTTTTCTTCTTGTTGAGTAAAAGAAAAACCTCTTTCACTGTTAGGCAATCCCTCTCCCCAAGTTCACTGCACTGTGTAGCCTTCATTCTGGACTCCTGTCATGACAATAATACCTAATCATATATCCCTTTTAAACAGTTCTCTCCTTCACCTGTTTCAATGCAGTATATATCATTCCTCCCCTTCTTCTCTGTCTTCCCTCAACCCCAATGTCAGTCCTATTTTACAACAGTGGCCCTATGCAATATCTGCCCTTTTGTGACTGAGATATTTCACTCAGCATAATGTCCTCTAGGGTCATCCACTTGGCATAGTATTTCATGAGTTGTTTTTCGGTGCTGCATAGTATTCCATTGTGTGAATATACCAGAGCTTCTCTATCCATTCGTTTGTTGAGGGGTACTTGGGTTGTTTCCAGCTCTTTGCTATTGTGAACAAAGCTGCAATAAACATGGGTGTGCATATAACTGCTTGGGTGGCGTTTATGGTTTCTTTAGGGTAAATTCCCAAAAGTGGCATTTCTGGCTCAAATGGTATTTCTATTTGCAACCTTTTGAGAAAGCACCATACAGCATTTCAAAGTGACTGCACCATTTACACTCCCACGAACCATGAATAAGGGTTCCCGTTTCTCCACAACCTTGCCAGCATTTGTTGTTTGCTGCTCTATTGAATTTTGTTGTTGTTATTGGAGATGATATCTCGTAGTTGTTTTGACAGGCCTTTCTTTCTAATCAACCTTGGCCTGTGGTTGTTGTTATGTGCTGGCGAGTCACGTGGGACTCAAAGCAACCTAATGTATAACAGCTCTGAATCCTGCTCTAAACTGAGCCAATCTCACTGTTACTGACACATCTACCCTTATTACCCCCACTACTGTGGCAATCCATCTTCTTCTCCTAGGTCTTCGTCTCTTGCACTGCCCCTCGATCATTCTAAGTATGATATTCTTCTCCAAGGACTGGTACTTCTTGGCAACATGCTCCAAGTATGTCAAACAGAGCTTCAAAATCTTTTCCTATAAGGAACAAACTGGTTTAACTCTTTCCAGGACAAACCTGTTTATTATCTTGGCAGTCCATGGTGTATGTTCAATACTCTTCTCCAACACCACAACTCAAAGGCTTCACTGCTTCTTCTTTCATCCTTATTCACTATACAGCTCTTGGATGTGTTAGCAAGTAATTGCAAAGACCATGCCGTGGATCAGTTGTACTCCACATAGTCAGTCAGTCAGTCTCTAGACTGACATCATTGCTCCTAAGCACTCTGCAGAGGTCTCTGACCTCTGATTTTCCTAATACAATTCATCTTTTGAGTTCCTGACTACTGGTGCCAAGAGTGTTGATTGTGGAGCTGAGCAAGCTAAAACTGTCAACAATCTCAAATCTCAATCTCTTCCCCGTCTATCACGGCGCTGCCAATTGGTCCAGTGGTGAGAACCTTTGTCTTCTTGATGCTCAGCTTCAATCCATTTTGAAGACTACAGTCCTTGACCTTCTGCAGCAAATGTTTCAAGTCCTCCTCAGTTTTAACTCATAATGCATATTGTAAATGACTCTTACTCCAGTCTTAATGCCACATTTCTCCTCATAAAGTCCAGCCTCCTGAATGAACTGTTCATCATACAGGTTGAAAAGGTATGGAGACAGGACACACCTCTGACACACTCCTTTCCTGATTTTGAACCATGCTATGTTCCATGCTCTGTTCTGGCAAATGCTTCTTGGTCCAGGAAGAGGCTACGCAGGAGCCTAATCAAGTATTCTGGGATTCCTATTCTTCTCAATGTTAGCTACAATTTATTGTGATCCAAGCAGTTAAATACTTTTGCAGTCAAGGAAACACTGACAGAAATTCCTCTGGTACTCCCTGCTCTCACCAAGATCCACTGACATTGACTATGAAGCCTAGAAGTTCTCATTTGGCATCTCAGTAATAAGCAAGGTTCCTCCAAGTGACAGGTGGTGGCCACACATGAACTGGCTAGCAATCAAACCTGGATCTGATATGAAGGCAAAAATTCTACCACCGCCTCACCACCATTTCAGTTAACATGGAAGAATTTTACTTAGGAGAGTAACATTTTCATATATCATGTTTTCTTCTTGTTGAGTAGTATTCAATGTAAATGTCATCATCTCTCAACAATTCTGTTTTTCTATCATTCATTCATTCATTCAATTAGTCAAAAAACTTGTATGCTTTCTCTGTGCTTAGTTCTAGTTGGGAGTGAAAAATTTAAATGCACAAGATAAAATATATGTGATAAATGCTATGAAGTGTTATGAGAATGAAACAGGGGAAATTTATTTAAGTGGTGACGGTGGTGGCGAAGGATGGCCTTTCTGGGGGAAAGAATGTATCTAAGTGTAGTCTCAATGGCTCCTAACAACAATAACCGAAGCTATGAGAGGTAGACAGCAGGAAGGAGTACACAGTGAGAAAGAGATTTTACTGGAGAAGAAATAGACAATGGAACAATTCTGAGGCAGAGGATCTCTGAGATGTTCTATCTGCTTGGTTCTGATTATGGACACCTTCCATTGGATTTCTGTGGCTTTACATTTTTACAGAAAGAAAATGCTCATTTTTCTCCTGCATAGTCACTGGTGGATCTGAACTGCCAAACTTTCAGTTAGCAGCCCAGCATGTAATGTACTGTGCAACTAGTTCCTAGGAATGCCTTTAAAGGGGGCCTAGTGTTATATAATTTGTCTTCTGATTTCCTGGCTGCTGGAAAATCTGCTGTCAAGACCTCTCCAGAACACTGAAGCTCAATGGTATCAGTCCAGAGACTTAGGTACACTTGATCCAAGACATGGTCTTCACAACTACTTGCTATGCATCAGAGAGCTGGGACATGCTAAGGATGACAGAAGAATCATCGATGCCTTTGAGTTGTGGTGCTAGAGAAGAGTATTGAATATATCATGGACTGCCAAGAGAACTAACAGGTTCATCCTATAGAGAGTGAAACCAGACTGCTCTTTGGAGGCAAGGATTTTGAAGCATTGTCTTATTTATTTTGGGCATTCTGCAAGGAGGGATCACTCCTTGGAAAGGGACATCATGCTTGGAAGGGTGGAGGGACAACCCAAAAGAGGAAGACCCAGGATGAAATGGATTGACTCAGTGACTAAGGTAATAGGGGTAAGTGTATCTGAGGCAATGAAGTTGCCTCAAGATAGAGCAGGGTTCATGGCTGTTGTACTTAGGGTAACAAGCGACTTAATGGCATACAACAATAACAACAACAACAATGTTATGCAGACAATACAACCTTGCTTGCTCAACGTGAGGAGGACTTGAAGTGCTTCCTACAGAAGATAGGGACTACTGAGTCTTCAATATGGATTACATGACAACATCAAGAAGACACACATTCTCACCACTGGGCAGAGAGGCACCATCATGATAGATGGAGAAAAGATTGAAATTGTCAATGATTTCATCCTACTCAGATCCACAATCAACACAGCTGGTACCAGCAGTAAGCAGATCAGGAGATGTAATGCCCTGGATGAGACTGGGCACATTCAGGGTGGTATGGCCATAGACAGTTGTACTGCACTGGGAAAGTCTGCTGCTAGGGACCTTTCCAAAGTACTGAGAACTCAGGTGTGTGTGACTCAGGTCATGGTCTTTTCAATCACTAGCTAAGCATCTGAAAGCTGGACAATGAATAAAGATGACAGACGAATTGATGCCTCAGAAATCAGGGAAAACCCCGAAAATATATGTCTTGGAGAAATGCAGTCAGAATGCTCCTTGGAGGCAAAAATGGTGAAACTTCACCTCACATACACTGGGA